GTCACAATAGATAGTGCATCTAAAGAGGAGGAAACCTTCTGAATGTTGTTAGACCGATGGTTTTAGTTGTACCTGGAGGAGTGGTAACCTTTTCTAGTTTTTGTTTGCAATAGTTGTACCTGGAGGAGTGGTTACCTGCTAGTTGTTGTTTATATTAGTTGTACATGGAGGAGTGGTCACCTGCTTGTTGTTGTTTATATTAGTTGTACCAGGAGGAGTGGTTACCTGCTAGTCGTTGTTTATATTTGCTGTTCCAGGAGGGGTGGTTATCTGCTAGTTGCTGTTTATATTAGTTGTACCAGGAGGAGTGGTAACCTGCTAGTTGTTGTTTATATTAGTTGTACCTGGAGGAGTGGTTACCTGCTAGTTGTTGTTTATATTTGCTGTTCCAGGAGGAGTGGTTACCTGCTAGTTGTTGTTTATATTAGTTGTACCAGGAGGAGTGGCTACCTGCTAGTTGTTGTTTATATTAGTTGTACCAGGAGGAGTGGTTACCTGGTAGTTGCTGTTTAAATTAGTTGTTCCAGGAGGAGTGGTTACCTGCTAGTTGTTGTTTATATTTGTTGTTCCAGGAGGAGTGGTTACCTGGTAGTTGTTGTTTATATTAGTTGTTCCAGGAGGAGTGGTTACCTGCTAGGTGTTGTTTATATTAGTTGTACCTGGAGGAGTAGTTACCTGCTAGTTGTTGTTATTTCAAATCATTAGCTTATAGTTGTACCTGGAGGAGTGGTTACCTGGTCATTGAGGTTAACCGAGAGGATTTTATTGAAATATTGTTGGATCTTTACGTCTTGTCTTACTGATAAGCACAACAGCACTATATCATGCTGGGATACAATAATTTTATATAGTGAATATCAAATTAAGTATGAATAGCGTTAAAAAGGATCACAGCTAAAATTAGTAATAATACAGTATACCAGGCACTGAACTCAATAACTACCTCACTTCACTGATTAAAAAGTGAAGGTGACATTGAATTTATTCTGTTTCTGATGCCAAATCGGAAAACTTGTAAATAGAGATGGAATTTCCCAGGTTTTTTGTTTGGAACAAAGCAATCACTGTCTGATTGTTGAAATGTCTTCGTGTTTCTGGCGTGATTTCAGGATTCTAGTAGATTTACGATACACACACCGACTTTCACAGACAGAAACAGGTGCTGTGTCTGATGAAAGCTACTGTACTACCAATTACCAGTGAGAGGCACTATTTCTCCTCTTACATTGTTCAGTTGGCTCCCTGGTTTCTGTATTAACCCTGTATCTCTGTTGTATGGTAGGTTTGTATTGACCTGACAGACACTGGCAACAAAGAGTTTTTGTAACCCTAACTCCGCAAAACAGGGTATTACATGGAAGAGTTGATTTAAAGGGTTGAAACATATAACCAGGCAAAACTATGAAGCAATCGTAATCTATGTACGTATACTACTGCAGAACCTCTGTAGGTACTACTGACTGATGACGTTAGTTACCTGTAGCCTTGACAGTAGATAAAGGTCATGGACAAATCAAAGTTGCTCTAAAGGTCAGAATATAGGTCATCAGCATACTTCCTACGATTTTTTACATTGAAGTATGTTTTTGAAAGGACTAAGTATGGTATTGGTTCTTTGGTCCCCAAATCCAGCAAAATTCAAAACCCTTAATTGAAATGTTCAAATCAGTTTTATCTTATTTTGAATACCTCCCTGATACTATTTTGAAAATATTTCATTGTTTTTCAATTATGTTTGTTACAGTAACCAGATGAAATTTGCATAAATTAGTGAAATTTGAAAGTTTTACAAAGCTTTGCCTTAGAAATTGCAAAATATATACTATTATACTAATATTGCTGGAGAATGTGCAGGCACTGGTATGTAGTACATCTTTAAGAGAAATTTGAGCGTTGTTCAAGAATGTGCTCTATGGTTGGTATGGACAAAACATGCAAAACTTTGCAAAACACACGTGAAGTGTACAGGTAGTACAAATTATTCTTTTTCAGTTTCTGGGAATATTGTCCTACTCCTGATGCTCAATCATTGTTTGACCCTTGACCTCCTATCTTTGTGTTACTTTTGACCTCTGTTATTGTGTGACACTTGACCTCTTATCTTTGTGTTACTTTTGACCTCTGTTATTGTGTGACACTTGACCTCTTATCTTTGTGTTACTTTTGACCTCTGTTATTGTGTGACACTTGACCTACTATCTTTGTGATACTTTTGACCTGTTATTGTGCGACCCTTGACCTCCTACGTTCTGTGTTACTTTTGACCTCTCTAACTGTGTGACCCTTGACCTCCTATCTTTTTGCATTACCTTTGACCTCTCCAATTGTGACCCTTGACTTCCTATCTTTGTATTCCTCTTTATCCTCTTTGTTACTTTGATCGTCTATCACTGACACAGATTTTACAAATTAACTTCTCCTTTGTGTGACCTTTGACCTTGATCATTTGCCTGTGCTATTGTTATTTTTTTTCCTTCATCAAATAATTATTTGATAGTAAACAAATCAATGGAGTTTGAAATCTGTATTGCAACAATTGTTTATGGGTCCTGAGAATACCTACTTATTTCCCTGAACTATGCATGCTTTAGATGTGCGCCAGGTCGTTTCATCTCCTTTGCCCTATAAAAGATTTGGAAGGATGGCAGGTTTATTGTGCGAGTGATTCCCCTACTGACTATCCATAACCCACCCTTCCATATACACAAAACCTTCACCAACAAATCTATATTTCTCAGCACACAGTCCATGTATATCACAATAAATGCCTCGGCATCATATAACGCTATCTCAGGCTGCTACAATTAAACCCGTCTGAAATGTCCCTCGAGGTTGCAATATTTAAATGGCTGGCAGCTTTTTCATCGCTCAAACCAAAGACGTGTAATATTCCATGATCAGTGTAGCATAAACGAAACCTTTATTCACCCAGGGTCATTGTGTTAACATTTCTCAGAGAAATATAATGTCTCATTTGAATATCAATCCCTTTCATTGTTTTATCAATATCAATTCAATTGCTGCTTCATATCATTTAATAAAAAAGGAAAAAAGAAAAAAGAATTGTTCTCATAGAACATCAGTATCAAATTCTGTTATTGAATTATAACCTTAAGAGGTAAAATAAATAACATGTATCGCATCTTTTAAAACCGATAATATACTACCCTGCTCCAATGTATGATCCCTACAGACAAACAGATATAGGATCCAGATCAAGCCAGTGCATCTGCAGTTCCTACAACACTCAGATAGCTGCAATTTCACAGAAATAAATTTGGTGTGCGCAGCTCTCATATAATAACAATCTCATCGAAATAACCTCAGTGTGAAAAACTCTCACTCTCACTTAATTACAATCTCACAGAAATGACCTCAGTGTGAAAAACTCTCACATAATTACAATCTCACAGAAATGACCTCAGTGTGAAAAACTCTCACATAATTACAATCTCACATGAATGACCTCAGTGTGAAAAACTCTCACATAATTACAATCTCACAGAAATGACCTCAGTGTGAAAAACTCTCACATAATTACAATCTCACAGAAATGACCTCAGTGTGAAAAACTCTCACATGATTACAATCTCATAGAAATGATCTCAGTGTGAAAAACTCTCATATAATTACAATCTCACAGAAATGACCTGTGTGAAAAACTCGCACATAATTTCAATCTCTAGAAATGAACTCAGATTAAAAAACTCTCACATAGTCATAATTACAAAATTCATAGAAACAACCAGTGTTTTAAACTGCCAAATTAACAGGTATGACTTCAATGTTCAAAACTCACACAATTAGGTTCTCACAAAAATAAACTCATTGTTCAAAACTCTCTTAATTACGATCTCAAAAAAACAACCTCAATTTTCACCAATTTCACATAATTACGATCTCTCAAAAATACTGTCAGTGTTCAAAACTCTCATAATTACAATCTCTCAAAAATAACGTCAGTGTCCAAAACTCTCATATAATTACGATCTCACAGGTATAATGTTAACCATAGTGAATACAAAACTCTCATATAATTACAATTTCATTCTCAAAGAAACAATCTTATCACACATTTACCTCTACAATAATTACAATCTCGGACACGTCATATCCACAGTAGAATCCCAATGTATACTGATAGAATATGCAAGATGTGATGATCAAGCAATATGCCGTATTATATCAGGGCAAGAATTTCTATCCATTCATATAAAAGGACTTAGAGAAATATTACCATATATATGACACTCTGTGACCATAATAGTATTTAGTATCCCCGCAGCCTAACCTGGCTAACCCTTCGCGACCTTGGGCTGTTTTACAGCCAGCGAAACATGTCACAAACAGACAAAGCTTCTAATTACATTTACATAAATACGTCCTAAGTACAAGATGGAGGCTAATGGCTTTGCTGCTTAAATGACCGACACTGCTGGATTGTTGGAATTCTGTCGCTCCTCTGATTACCTCTGACCAGCCGGGCGATCAAGCACAAATAATGGTCTAACTATTATCACTTAAGGCTGTGTTTCACAAGATTTTTTCCATCTGTTCTTTGGTCAGTGGTCATTTCGAACCCCGCCACCATTAATTGACAACAAGCTGTCACATTGTGTTTCGCAGACTGACCTTCCGTGGTCATTGTTCAGAGAAATAACGAAATCAATGGACAGAATTAACACGTTACAATTTATGGATTTCACATTTTGCACGAGACAAAAGTAGTCAAACTAATTCTATCGACCCGTCATGATCTTCTTCTAAAAAGAGGGGAGACAAATCTAATGAAATAATCTATGCCAAAATTAGCAATTTTGAACTGGAAATCATGCTTTTGATATACATGTACACTAACTATTTTGAACAGTACTTTGAAATATGTTAATTAGAGGTATCATTAACTTTAATTAAGTTAATAACATTGAACTCTTACCTTTGACATATATTAACAAGAGGTATCATTAACTTTAATTAAGTTAATAACATTGAACTCTTACCTTTGACATATATTAACAAGGGTATGTGTGATATCTTGGTTCTGTTTAATGTAGGAGGTTAGTTCCGCAGCCTCTTTCTGGAGACGACATCGTCGCTCATACAATGTGACTTCAGTGGAGCGATCAACGATCAATGTGTTCTTCATCGATTCCTGAAAAATATTAAACATTCAAATGAGTCGGAAGTTGATTTTTTCTGAACCCTGTATCGTTTGAAAAGGAAGAAGCAATTGAATTATGTATTAATTTTAAACCATTTAAGTCCAATACTATTCCAATACACGAGAACATGCTGAAAGGCTGAGTTCAACGAAATTCATTATACATCTTAAGTTTCAATGAAGCATTTCATAAAAAAAATTATCAGATATTTCAACTCCCTTAGCCAGATTAGGTTTTTTGAATTTGATGTTAAATAATTATATAATCGGTCACATTCTGATAGGTGTCAACCTCTGAAACCTCCAATGACGGATATCTCCCTCATTCCACATTTCCATTGAGGGAGAAAGTGTGTGAAAGGCGACTGAAACTGCCCTGCTCAAGTTATCATTCCCTTTTTACGTACCAAAATAACTCCAACAAGAGATCCCAGAGGGATCTTGGCACCCACCTTTGTACCATCTTCATTAGTTCTTCGTCAGTTCGATCTTTTCTCTTTTTTCCTCTAATCTGTTTGATCGAGTCATGTTAACAGTAAATGCACCTTGAGGTAACTTTTGATCTAAACTTAATACTGATGTGTATGAAAGCCAACCTTCAAAGTGAGTTTGTCATTTCACATATTTACTAGTACAGTACTTAATGTGAAAGAAATAGAATCGATCATCGCAATATGAGAAAGATCTGTTTAGTTCTTCTTTTAATCCATTTTGTTTTTATGATCAGTCTCAAAATATAACATGCACAACGAGGGATCAAGGGGAACCTACATTTAAAATTTGAGAAAGATCCGTCCCGTACTTCCCGAGAAATAGCGATAACAATCTTTCAATATCAAAATACAAGATGGCTGCCTGTCGGCCATGTTGTTTATCTAATCAGTCTCAACATTTGCCCTGCACAGCTAAGGACCAAGAGGAACCTACATATCAAATTTGAGATCCGATCAGTCTCAAAAGTTGCACTGCACAGCTAAGGACCAGGGAACCTACATATCAAATTTGAGAAAGATCCCTCTGGTACTTCTTGAGAAATACTGATAATAAGAATTGTTAAAGGACGGACGAAAGACGACGGACGGAGGGTGATTTGAATAGCCCACCATCAGATGATGGTGGGCTAAAAAGTATTCATTTGATTCAGACACACCTGTTATGATCATTACACACACACTAGTAACTAGGAGATAATTTGACCACAGGATGCAAATTTTGAGTTTGTGAGTTTGGACTTGAATGAGGGAGTTTCTAGGGAGATTGGTAAATTTTGGTCAAAATGACGGAGTCTTCCTCATAATGAGGGAGGTTTGACAGCTATGCATACTGTATTAGCATCACCAGATTACCTCCCTTTTCAGTATACTGTCCTTAATAGGAAACAGTTCGATATATCCCTTTTCTGTATGTAATTATATAGTACTACCTGATAATCATTTAACTGATTCCCTTACATTTTCAACCAATCAAATTCAAGACTCAATTCCTAGTATGATGCCTCAAGTACAGTATAGCATACTACATTAAAACTCGCAGTAAGTACAGAATACTGTTGAACAACATTTACAGTCTTTTAAAGCTTTATTGTAAATCGTTTTTACCAATTTCATGCTAGTCTACTCGCAAAAGTTGTTCATAAACACGGAAGCGTGAGATGCCGTAGTTTTTCGTTTTATTTTTATCAAAGAATAAACAAGTGACAAAATGGAATTTGAACACTATTAAGTAGACGATGTTTTGATGTTGGATTTACGCTGTTGAAACCAATATCTTACTTTGAAGTACTCAAGTTTTTCGAGTTTTCAGGGGCCAAATTTAATTATCAAAGTTTTATTTACTAAGATGAATAAGAGATTTGTCCGGGAACCGGAGAAACATTTCGAGATATAAGAGTTCGAGATAATGAGGTTCAACTGTATTTGATAGCAAGGATGTTTTCTCATCAAGTTCAACTATTATGATGTAACAGTAATGTGATATGACAGACGTGTGATTTCTTTCATTGTTCTGAGTCTTTCAATTTTTCTTTTTCATCGAAAAGAAGCACAAATTTATTCGACCTTTAACCCCTAAAATAGTGTTGCAGTGCAAATCGCATTTCTGTTACGTTAAAGGGTCTGTGAGAATTTCAAGAACATTTGATATTATTTTGTGTGTTATAATAAAAGTTGACATCGATAATAATTTTACAATTTTCCACCACCAACTGCCCTTTCCAAGTATAACTTTAAATTATTTTAATTGTATTTAACTTGAATTGTGGAATTTGTGGAGACCCTGCACTCTATGTTTTTTAAATAAATGATCCAGGTTGCTGTGACCCTATTTTAGTTAGAGACACACAACTCTATCATGATGTACTTGTTCTGACGTATACAGATCCCCTGTATGAATCGTTGCACAAGATATGGTCTAAAAAAACAACTGAATTTTAGCACAGGAGGTCTGTTGAAGGTGAATTGTCAAAAAGAGGTTGTACCGTTCCCATTTTGGTTCAAACCACAGCAACTTTTCACAAGATAACTACATACAAAGTCTGAAGTCTTGGCTGAGATATGCTCTGAAAACCTGCATTTTGGTTGTTGAGGCCAAGATCAATTGTTAAAAAAAAGAGGGTGAGCTGATTGCAGTGTCATAGCAACTCAGTACTTCCTCATGATGTAACTGCATACTTGAGGTCAAGGTCAAAGGTCAAATAGAGGTCATGGTGTTATCATTTTGTATGTCACACAGTCAGTGCCTGTCCTTTATGCAAGCTAAATGTCAAACAGTGACCAAGATACGGTTTAGAAACTGGAACATATAGTGTCACATCATTTATATCCCCGACGTAGTTCAAAGAGCGGATATAAAAATACTCTTGTCTGTAATCTTTGTAAATTTTAAATGGGTAAAAGTTGTAATGGTCACAGATTTGTTTTTGTAAATATCAAGCGAAGATAATTTTGTTATACATTGACAGACACTAATTCGGAAAACAAAGAATGATTTTTTGGGACAAAGAGCTATATTTTAAGTCTCTATATAATGATATCAATTAGCAAAATGTCTGATGATTTGAATAATGTGTAATAAACAGCATCCTGTTTGAGATGTCAAATGATTATAGTTTTGATACAAATATTTGACCTGTGTGGTGACTGAAGGAACTTAAATCATGGTAGTTTGATAATGTCTCCTCTGTTTCCCTACCTAGAGGACATAACAACCAACAAAAAATATTTTTCTTAGCAGGATTCATCAGGTGTCAGGACAACAACTTCATCATGTACACACCCAATTTGGTCTAGTCACCGATGGCATAGAGACAACCATCCTGATTGTGTGTGTTTACCTTCCACCAGCTAATCAAAACAGAAGGGGAAATCACATCAGATTTGCAGAGACCTATGGGTGACCTTTGGGTGACCTTTGAAACCTTCAGTTGAAAGTGATACAATAGCAACAACCTTCAATGCCACAATAAACTGCTATCGTTATACCAGGCACAAAGGCTTTCACTTGAATACTCAATTCTAAAAACAGTTTCTTTTTCCGTAAGAAACTTACTGACCTTTTCATCAGAAATTGATTTGATGACAGCTCTGATGTATATATTCAAGCTCTCAAACCAGATCACGAATCCCTTTAGTTTAAAGTGGCACAAACCACAGGGACCTGAGAATTTGTTATGGTAGCTTATAATGTTTGGCAGATCATGATGCGTTAAAAGTGCCACATTGATGGAAATTATTAGTGTATACCAGCAATGGGGCTGAATTTAACTGAGTTTGAATCCAAATGTCTGATATCACTCCATGGCATTCCAATAGGTCAAAACATACCTACTGAAACAAATTCTCGGGTCCCTGTGTCAACCAATTTCTTCTTTCTTGGAAATGTCGGCATTGAGTGTAGTGCCCCATGTTTTAAACTGAAATACCTGGTCTTTGATATAATCGATAGAACTATGTCAAATGTCCTTACACAGTTTTTATCGTTAGTCTCTTTTTAACATTTTGTTTGTTTATGGTACATTTGGAAATCTCTAACTGACGCAGTGTTGTCAGTAGGATCGGTAAAACATGTCAGAAAAGTTTCCATGGCAACAGTAACTGTCCTTGCATCACGCAGCAGACACATACATCACATCGAACATCATCCACCACCAACAAGACTGGTAAATGAATTACCCTTCTACCCCCTCCTCTTCCCCAGCGTTATCTTCTACCCTTCTACCCCCTCTTCTTCCCAAGTTTTATCTTCTACCCTTCTACCCCCTCCTCTTCCTCAGCTTTATCTTCTACCCTTCTACCCCCTCCTCTTCCACAGCTTTATCTTCTACCCTTCTACCCCCTCCTCTTCCCCAGCTTTATCTTCTACCCTTCTATCCCCTCCTCTTCCCCAGCTTTATCTTCTACCCTTCTACCCTTCTATCCCCTCCTCTTCCCCAGCTTTATTTTCTACCCTTCTATCCCCTCCTCTTCCCCAGCTTTATCTTCGACCCTTTTACCCCTCCTCTTCCCCAGCTTTATCTTCTACCCTTCTACCCCCTCCTCTTCCACAGCTTTATCTTCTACCCTTCTACCCCCTCCTCTTCCTCAGCTTTATCTTCTACCCTTCTACCCCCTCCTCTTCCACAGCTTTATCTTCTACCCTTCTACCCCCTCCTCTTCCCCAGTTTTATCTTCTACCCTTCTACCCCCTCTTCTTCCCAAGTTTTATCTTCTACCCTTCTACCCCCTCCTCTTCCTCAGCTTTATCTTCTACCCTTCTACCCCCTCCTCTTCCTCAGCTTTATCTTCTACCCTTCTACCCCCTCCTCTTCCACAGCTTTATCTTCTACCCTTCTACCCCCTCCTCTTCCTCAGCTTTATCTTCTACCCTTCTACCCCCTCCTCTTCCCCAGTTTTATCTTCTACCCTTCTATCCCCTCCTCTTCCCCAGCTTTATTTTCTACCCTTCTATCCCCTCCTCTTCCCCAGCTTTATTTTCTACCCTTCTATCCCCTCCTC